AAGATTGTCGAACTTGCATAAACGACGCCATTACAGGATTAAGAGAAACTTGCCGAAATCAAAAGGGTGGAATTGGGTGGTCTGATAATTGTATGTTAAGGTATTCTAATTCAACCATTTTGGGAATTTTAAACACCAACGGAGGTGGTTACATGTGGAACATTAACAACGCTTCGAATGTGGACGAGTTTAATCAAGCTCTCCGCCAGTTGTTGGATCAACTAAGAACTGAAGCTTCAAATGGTGGCTCTCTTCGTAAATATGCTTCCAACAACATTACTGGCCCTAGATTTTCAACGATCTATGGGCTTATGCAGTGTACACCGGATTTATCTGAAGATCAGTGTTATGATTGTTTGGATACTGCAATTCGACAAATTCCTAATTGTTGTGATGGCAAACGTGGAGGAAGAGTTCTAAATCCTAGTTGCAATATTAGGTATGAAGATTCTAGATTCCTTAATGATACGGTGGTTCTCGCACCACCACCTTCGCCATCATCAACACCGCCAGCTTCTCCGCCACCACCACCACCAACTTCAGGTATATATATCTAAACCTCCGACCACCATCCTATATATTATGCTGTAAGATTTAATCTGATTAGTTCTTTTACAATAAAATTCAGGTAAGAGTAGTAGTAACACGATTATTATAGTCATTGTTGTTGTTGCTGCAACCGTTGGTGTTGTGATATCATTGGTGGTTTTCGTTTGCATCTTCAAGAAAAGAAAACGGAAGCTGCAAGCACGCCCTCCACAAAATTCAGGTGGGTGTTGAATGTTTCTTTTCTTTATTGATTATTCGTATTAGAGTATTTCCATTCACAATTAATCCAAATTAAAAAATTAATTTTTTTCTTCCACCTATATAACCAATAAAATCCAAAGTTTTACTCACATTAACAAATAAATTATTTTATTAAATACATATAATTTATAGTTTTTTTTATTCAAATAAAATTTATTAAATCTAGATAGATATGGTTTTATTGGTTTTTAAAATTAAACATTATAAAAAAAAATCATATATTTATTTTATTTATTAAATATTGGGAGAAACAATTAATAAAAAAAATAGGCCGAATGGTGTTTGATATGAAGACATGCTCGGTGCAAGTTTTTTTCTTTTTTTTTTTTTTTTTTTTTTTAATATACCAACCTAACACCAAAACCTTTATCAATGTGAATAGCCTTAGCTAGAGTATTAATTAGGGCTTTATATTATATAATAATTTTGACGATAATTCTAGTTTATGAGGAAGGAGATATGGATGAAATTAGTACGGCCGAATCATTGCAATATAGCTTTGGTATCATTAGAGCAGCAACAAATGACTTCTCGGAGAACAATAAGCTTGGACAAGGTGGATTTGGTTCGGTTTATAAGGTTAGTAACAAACCACAACAAAATCATCACTTTGTAATGTAATTTTCGACACAAAATCCATTTCAAAGAAGATATACTAAATTGTTTTCTACTAAAACTTTTAGGGTAAGTTACAAAACGGACAAGAAATAGCAGTGAAGAGGTTATCAAAGGACTCTGGGCAAGGCGAACAAGAATTCAAGAATGAAGTTTTGTTGCTTGCAAGGCTACAACATCGAAATCTTGTTCGGCTTCTAGGATTTAGCCTAGAAGGGTCCGAACGACTTTTGATGTATGAGTTTGTGCAGAATGCAAGCCTAGACCAATTTATATTTGGTAAGTTAGATTACTATTCTTGAAATTATATTATCCATATGATAAGGGTTAGAAAATGTGTCCTTTTAATATTAATTAATAAGCTTATGTTTGACAAATAAATTAGATCCAACAAACCGAGCGACTCTTAACTGGGAACGACGATTCAAAATAATAACGGGTATTGCGAAGGGACTTCTGTATTTACATGAAGACTCACGACTAAAGATAATTCACAGAGATATGAAAGCTAGTAACGTTTTGTTGGATGCACAAATGATCCCCAAAATTGCAGATTTTGGTATGGCAAGGTTGTTCACACAAGAAGAAACGCAAGGCAACACTAGTCGAATTGTTGGAACCTAGTAAGTCGTCATCCGAAAAATTAATATTTACACTAAAATCAATATATGACAAGCAAACACTTAAATGTGTTTAATGTGTGAATTAACAATTATTCTTGTTGTATTAGTGGATACATGGCACCAGAGTATGCAATGCATGGACAATTTTCAGTTAAGTCGGATGTATTCAGTTTTGGTGTGTTGTTACTTGAAATTGTAACGGGTCACAAGAACCATAACTTCCAAAATGGAATGGTGTCAGTGGATCTTCTTAGTCATGTAAGTGTGAAATATAGTTTGCTAATAAATTTTTCTTTGTTGAAACATATAGCTTCTAGTTTAACTATGCTAATTTTTCTTGTTGCAATTTGTTTAATATTTCTAGGCATGGAAAAGTTGGAGAGATGGAACAGCTTCAAGTTTGATTGATCCGACATTAAGAGATGGTTCTGATTCTATACGTGACATGATTAGATGCATCCACATTGGTTTATTATGTGTCCAAGAAGACATTGCTGAGAGACCAACAATGGCTTCTGTGGTTCTCATGCTTAGTAGCTTCTCTTTAACACTTGCAGTTCCTTCAGAGCCGGCATTTTTCATGCATACAAGTACGAATCCAGAAAAACCTCTATTCGAAGGGCATACTTCAAATAGTACAACTGATTCTAGACATTTGGAAAGCAAATCCAGGTCTTCACAACGATCTATAGCAACTGATATTTCTATGGACGACTTATATTCCCGATAGATAAATATTTATTCCATGTGTTATGAAATTATTGTGGTGGTTCCACAATAATGTTTTCTTATTCAATATTGATTTATTCTTGTGTTTTGTTTTCAAATATCAAGTATTGATTGTGAACACATCTAAAGTTTTTGCTTTGTATATACGATACTCATAGTTAATTTATGTTGTCGCATCTATTTACACTACAGGAAACTATGCATTTACGGAAGTATGTTGTTGGTAAAGTCTATGGCAATCAACCTATTGTGATGCAAATTTGTTAAATTTTAGACAAGATAATTAAACAATTGATAATTAATATTGTGAACTAATTATAATACTCTTAAAGTATCAAACAAACGATTATACGAAAGGTAAAATGAGAGTATTCTGTTATTATACAAATTAAAAACAGAACATAAACATAAATCCAACATGAAGATCACCCAATTCTTGATTGGTAATAAGTGCACAGAAGAACTTTTGTCCCTAAAGGAATGCGTTGAGAATATACTATAAACATCAATGTAGTCATCAAAAATATTTACACAATAAATACATAAAAACTAAGATACTTGTAGTCTAACATTATTAAGGTCCCGTTTGATAGTTTCTGTCTGGGAAAGTGCTGTTTGGGAAAGTTTTCTGACGGAGAAAGAAATCATGTTGTTTGATTGTAAATCTGATTGACTGTGCTGAATGATAAAAAAAAATATAATTCAATATAAAATAAATTTTAAAAAAAGTTATTTAAAAAAATTAATAATATAATAAAGAAAGAAAGAGACGGGGTTCAGTGTATAATTGTCTTTCCAACCCATTCAGTCAGAAATATGTAATTTTGGAGCTTTCTGGGAAAAATATATCTTTCCGGGAAAGACTCTTTCTTTTGTGCAAATCAAACAGTTTTTCCGATCCATTCAGCCAGAAAGATCTGTTTGAACCTGGAAAGATGCATATCAAATGGGACATAAATATACCACTCTACCAATATATAACATCGTACAAGACATGTATTAAAAGTAGATTAAAATATATTCGAGTTAACCATTGATGAAAAAAGATAAAAGATAAAAGAAAATATGAAAATAAAAAAGCTACATATGTATTATTTAAAAGTAGATTAAGGAAAAGATATCCGAGTTATCCATTAAAAAGATAAATACACATAAGAAAACATGAAAATATAAAGATAATATATATTTTACAACGTAATTAAAAAAAAGAAAAAAAGCGTTGCCAGCCCTAATTTCCCGGAATCTTTATACAAAAGTAAGTTTGGGAATTGACGCTTTCAATGCTTCGGTCTTTTAATCTTTTATCGTTTGAACAAGTAAACATGTCAGTTTGCATACATGCCACCGATCCATTCCACGATTTCTTTTGTCTTCAATAGCCTATGTTTTAATCAAGAAGAAGTCAACATTCAATCTTCAAATATAATATAATATCTAAATATGTGTTATTAAAAAGTAAAAGGGATAATGACTTGAAAGGGTAACGAACTTTTGACTTTTGTCACATTTAGTCACTAAACTTTTTTTCATTATCTATTTGCCATTGAACTATTGAAATTGTTCACATTTTACCCTTATGACCGGCTGTTGCCGGTCATAAGGGTAAAATGTGAACATTTTCAATAGTTCAATGGCAAATAGATAACGAAAAAAAGTTTAGTGACTAAATGTGACAAAAGTCAAAGGTTCATTACCCTCTAAAAAGTTCAATGACTAAATGTGAATAAATTTTCTCTTGTATTATGTTTTAGCAAATTATTTATTTTTGTTAAATTGTAGCAACATTTGTTGATGAAGAAATCTATGAAATAAAAAAAAAAAAAAAAAAAAAAAAACAGAACCTTGAAAATATATTTAAAAAAAACAAAAAACCAAAACCGAAATAAAAAACCAATGGTTTGACATTTTCCAAAATAAAAAATCAAAATTCCCAATCTGATTTTGGTTTTACAAAAAAATGAACCATTCTCACTGATGTGAATTATGACCATTAGTTTGGCATGCGGAATTTGTGACATCCCATGAATATGTAGTTACAACATCGTCTGAACTCGTAATTCATCACCTACAGGTTATGGGCCTGCTGGTGTTTCCACTGAGTTGTCTAGAATAGTCCCTGGTCGCCATCTATACTCTGGTAGATGACTACATCGCCACATTGTCGGTTAAGGTTATGGTATCTCCTTTCATCCTACATCACATATTTATCATCATCTATTTACCTAATTATCATCACCTTTCTATCATCACCCATCTCTCATCATTTTATTTCATCACACACCAACTATTTCATCTACCCATGTTTCATCCGCAACATATTTGTAGATATAAAATAATATACCGTTTAAATCTTTTAAAACATGTATAAAATCGTTCATCCAGCATAGATAGTAAATATTCAAATAATATGCACACATAGCACGTAATTCATATAAAATACTTCATATCTATGTGTAAGATGAAAATAACTATATATACCATAAAGATACCATAAATGCTTCCTAACTTCGAACCCCAATGTTTACTCTACTAAAGCTTCATATTCTCGGCTCTCTGGACCTAGAAGGGTCCAGATCTATCACACCAAAAAGCTCAAGATAGCTCTTCCTTTCACTCTACACACTCAAGCTCACTAGGGTTCTCACTTATGGGAAAGGTAGTCGCAATTGAAGGCCATAAGTGTCTTTAAATATGGCTCAGGCCCAAAGATTTAGGGTTTCTGCCAACAACGCGGACCCGTCGAGTCGCCTCACTGACTCGTCGAGTCCATTCATTAATCCGAGTCATCAGTCGCGACTTTACTTGACAAGTTGAGGTGTCAACTCGTCGAGTCTCTCTTCTTAACTCAAAAGAAAAATACTTAAATTATGATATCTGGAAATCCGGATGTTACATTTTGTTTTTTTATTTCATAGATTTCTTCATCAACAAATGTTGCTACAATTAAACAAAAATAAATAATTTGCTAAAACATAATACAATAGGAAGTTTGTTCACATTTAGTCATTGAACTTTTTAGAGGGAAACGAACTTTCGATTTTGTTCACATTTAGTCAGTAAACTTTTTTTCGTTATCTATTTGCCACTAAACTATTGAAACTGTTCACATTTTACCCTTATGACCGGTAATAGCCGGTCATAAGGGTAAAATATGAACAGTTTCAATAGTTTAGTGGCAAATAGATAACGAAAAAAAGTTTAGTAACTAAATGTGATAAAAGTCGAAAGTTCGTTACCCTTTCAAGTCATTATCCCAAAGTAAAACCATAGAGCAACCAGCCAACTCCAGCCGTCATAATTTGACCTTTCAATATCCTTAATATGTTTGTGAGGACCAATTTTTAAAAAGTATAAGTGTAGGGTTTAATTGCAAAAGTAATATATAATCCGAATCGGTCCAAACGTATATTGGGGTTCGAGACGAAAAGAAAAAAAGGTCTTTACAAAAATATCATAAATATTCAAAAAAAATATCATTTATTCTTCACTATAAACGCGTACAATTAGCAATAAGAAACAAATCAAATTGTTTATCTTTTGAGCTAGTTTGAGTTTGAACTAACTTTAAATCCTAAAAATCATTTAAGTATTAATTATATATATATATATATATATATATACACACACACACACACACACACACACACACACACACACACACACACACACAACATATCCCAGAAATTTTGGACCCTCTGAAGACGTGAGCCCGTGGGCGGTCGCCCGGGTTACCCACCGTCTATACCAGCCCTTCATATAATATTAAAAAATATTATCTATCTTCTAGAAATTGTTATAAAAACCACAAGTTCCAAAGGACCATTATAAAAATCATCTAAGCGATCAATATCTTTACATGTTTTACAAATTCAAAACTACCTAAATAATAATAAAAAAAAAATTATAAAACGGACAACGTTATTAGACCTTCCGGTATGGTGCAGTAGAAGACACATAGGAACTGAGGTGGCAAGGCACCCTACGTGTGAACACTCCCCCAGGTGTCCGTAATTACCTTGTGGCGTTGCTCTGGCTACAGGCAAAGACGTGTGACTTGATTAGTTAATCGTTTCATGACTGTTTTTCCATCTTTTCCTTTTGAATGTTGCCGACAACAGAAAAAAAAATCAAATTTAAAAGTTAACACACACACACACACATATATATATATGTATATATATATACTCTCTCTCTCTCTCTCTCTATATATATATATATATATATATATATATATATATATATATATATATATATAAATTTAAACAAACACATTTTCAAACACACTTTCAAACATAAATATGAATAATTTTGCGAGTTCGATTTCTTCTTCATCCGATGATGACAACTATGATGATTATTAACGTATCATTATTTCAACATTATTGGTATTTTGTATTAACCATATTATCAGGGTGAATATGTAGATTATATATATACATATTTGTACTATTCAAACAACATAATGTCAATGATGACGACGTGGATGAGGACATAGATGATGAAAACGGGGCCGGTGGCGACACTCACGACAATGATGATGAGTAATATTTTCAATGTTTTTTTAGTAAATGTTTTACATGTTTATGTTTTTTTAGGTAATTTAAATTTAAATTTGTGTTTTTTAATTAATATAAATGTTTTTAATTAATATTGTTTTTATTTTTGTTTAATAATTATTTTTTAATTTATTCTAATATCAAAAAGTAATAATAATAAAAAAGATAAATACAAAGGAGTGGTAATCATTTCCAATAGATAGTAGGTTAATGATAGACATGTAATGAAACTAACGTGATACATATCTAGCAATATTTTTCTAGTGAGTTGGTGACGACATACCCCTTAAGGCTTTAACCTTATAGAAGTTTTATTGACTTTTACCAATAATAGGTGACTTTTACATAATATTTTCAGCTATATATAATAATTTATTATTGTGAAATCTATAGAAAAATCCTAAACTTTTAGAAAAAACATCAATAAAATCTTAGTTTTTTTTTT